AATGCCTCAGTTGTCTGCTTGGGTTCCTGGTCTTTCAAAAGTCATTCTTAGTCAACTAGTGTAGAGCTAAACTGAATCCCAAATTTAGAGCATTTTGATCTAAGATGATCCAACACCCAAGGCGTGTCGGACCCATTAGAGAGACCACCTTGAGTTCAAAACGCCCCACGGCTTAAACGAACGTTCATACTTATGTGTAAATTTGAAGGATGTATACGTTGTTTGAAAAATCATTGTCTCATTAGGTAAGGATTAGATTATAGTTTATTTAGGTTGAAGAATGAGTTTCACAAGCTACTAATCCATCCAAAGACGTTGACACCCGGAGATGAAAAAAATCAAGAAAGAAGAAAGATCTTTCATAGAGGCATAGTTTAGGGTCGTACCCTTGCGTGGGACTAATTATATTTTATCCCATTTCCCTTATTATGTATCCCAAGTAAGTTTTATTCATCAAATTTGTGTAAATTTGAGTTTTGGGGCAATGGAATATTTCAAATAACTTATACATCCCTCAAATCGCTAGGCCTACCCTTGACACAATAGGGTCACATATCTGTTTATAACGCGCAATATGTGTTTATATGTCATAATTGCTTAAGTGAATATGTTGCTTTATTTGGAGATATTCTAGATTACTCTTGTTCGAGATTTTTTTTAGATCTCCTAAGCACAAATATCAAGTTACTATCAAAAGTGCGTCCAAATACTCTTCGAGGATTTAGTTTTTCGAAAAAATTTTAAACTTTTTAATATCAGATAAAAGATTCACCGTCTAAAATAGAAAAGAGGGTTGAACTACTTGGGACCTGAATTCTCTCTCATGAGATACGTAGGCAACCTTTCAAGGTTAGGTCCCCATTTTGAGAAATTTTATCTTTGTAACTCTTGCAATGAAATTCGAATTCATCTCAATCAAAATTAGAAGTATGTCAATTAAAGATAAAATCAATTTCGTCTCAACTCAAATCAACTTAATAGATCCAGTAGTTCAAAAATTAAATAGACAAATTTATGTATGTTCTGTCATATCGTATGTTCGTGGGCTAATTCATCTTCAAATGAAGCAACTCTTTTGTGTTTATTACTTTGTGAGTGATATCTTGTAATACCTATTATCTACACGAACTAACACATCTGTCGTTTGGGTCATTTTTCTTTGTTAGGTACTCAAAACTGATTTGTGTTGATTAATTGTTGAACAGTCAAAGTTTTCAAAGATTACTTTCCCAATCGAAATTTGTTGAAAGAGAGAAGAAAAAATAACACAGAATAATGAGAATACTAGTCTGACTGAAGTTGCCATAGTTCAACTGGCCGCCACTGAATAAAATGATTTAATTGCACAATTGATACAACAGATTGCTGAGTTGAGGGTTGAGCTCCAGAAAATCAAGATTTGTCAATTTCGAGTGTCGATGTCAAAACTCCAGGCAATGGAAGGCTTCCACTCCATTTTCCTCCTATGACTTTAAATTTGGAATATGCCAGTATTTCATACCAAGCACCGCACCCTTTTCAGAACATGAATACCAACCCGCAAGTTCCCCCCCCCCCTCTTTCATAAAAAAAATAACACTCAAATATTCCTCCATTTCAAAGCTTAAATGTCAACAATCCTCAAACATCCCCTTTAATGTACCATACTCCTTCAAAAGACACTCAAAATCCACAAAACTTTCAACCCTTACCTCCAAAAGAAACATTTGATATCACAGTCCAAACCAAACCATATCTTCACTTTAATGCCTATCCCAAACTTGACCACTACGAAGAGAAGGAAAATGAGTGGAGGGCCAAAGAGGAAAAGACTAAGCAGATCATGAAGGAAGAGATTGCGAAAGTGATAAAAGAACTTGATTATGCTTCAGAAGAGGTGGGGATGAATGATGAAAATTTATGCATTCATTCGAATTTGGACCTTCTGAAAGGTTTCAAAAAGCCAAAGTTTGTCACTTTTAATGGAACAGGAAACACTCTAGCACATCTGAAAGTTTATTGTGATCAATTCATGGGAGTTGGCAAAAATAAAGTGTTGTTGATGCGTCTCTTCAGTTGAAGTCTAAGTGGAGAAGCTTTGGAGTGGATTACATTACAAGAACTAAAACAATGGAAAAGTGAGAATACATTCACACAGGATTTCACAGAAATATTTGGACATAACGTAGAAGTTGTCCCAGATCGCTAATACTGGGAGAAGATTAAACAGAAGTCTACAATTTATTATCTAGAGTATGCTTTTCATTGGAGAAAAGAGAACGCAAGAGTTCAACCTCATATGTTCGAACGTGAGATTACTGAAATGTTCATTCGAATTCAAGAGCCTGAGTACTATGAAAGAATGTTGTGTATGACGGGATAAAAATTTGTTGAGATTGTCAAAGTGGGAGAAGCGTTGAAGGATGGTTTCAAGACTGGAAAGGTCACCAACCTTACCGCATTTCAATCTAATGGAAAAGCTACCAGAATTAGTGATATAGATACATCAAAAAGAAAAGAAGATGAGATAGGTATGGTCACGACAACATGTATAAGGTCAGCTTCCTAAAGGAAATATCAAAACCATAATGTGAATAAGATAATATTTCCCCACCCAAACTTTAAGAAGACTCCTAAAGTATTTAAACCATTAAGGGAATCTCAAACTCAACTTTATGAAAGTTTTAAAGTCATGGGTATGCCCTATCCTGTAGAAAGAAGACCAATCAATCCTTTAGGAAAATTTAACAGAGCTGACCACAAATGTGCTTATCATTCAGGAGTCGTTGGACACAACATTGAGAATTATTCAAACTTGAATCCAAGATACAAAACATGATCAATAATAATTTGACCAATATGAAAGAAACCACCTCAAGGTATAACATATCAGATTCTTAAGTAAGTGCAAGACATCTCTAAATTGAGTCATTTGAAGATGTTTGTCACCAAAGGTCAAAAGAATATTCCTAGCATTGATCAGAATATGCATATGAAGTTTTGATAGTGTATATTGAATCTTGATACGCTCAAATTATACTTCCCTAAAGAAGTATAAGCAGTTGTATCTAGTAAAGAACCCAATTGTTAGGTTGGGGTCGATCCCACGAGGAAATGGTCTAGACTAAACTTTAATCTACAATTACGTCTATTTAGTCAAGTCCTTTCCAAAAATAGTTGAATAAAAAGGGGAATTTTGTGTAACAAAAATGTTAAATTATACTAAGTAAACAAGTAGCAAGATTAAAACTTTGGTGTTTATCAAGTGCTAAGAGAAACTAGGTGCAAGTGTTCTAATGTCTTGCATAAAAAGTGGCAAGTTATGTATATCTAATTCCTTGGTCCGACAACTAGATAATTTCACCCCGTAACTTGATCCAGCTACTTGTGTCTAAATTACTAAACCTTATATTTTACCTCATATTAAGCATCATATTTAATGTATGGCTAAGTTACTACTTTGCACCAATTGAAACTAGCCTATTAGATAGTGTATACTAAATTTATGTTGATAATTCTTTTCCTATTATCTACCTCCTTGCTCCGGCAAGTAGAAATAGGGAAAGTTCTAACGCGTGCACTCGTTAAAAAGAATTATCAATACATGCAAGAACCTATTGTAGAATTGTTATTTAGATAGTTCTATATTGTTAATTACCCATGGTTCCCACAACCCAAGTTGTGCATTTAGTTACCCATGCTTAGAATTACAGAATTCATGGTTGTTAAACGAGAATTCATGTACTTACTTTGATAAGTTTGAATAAAATCCAGAAATATCACTTGATTAACGAAAAAATTATAAAAATCGATTGCGGAAACTTGAAGTAATTCCCAAAATCCAAAGTTCAACTGCCAATAATAAGAGTATGCAAAAAAAAAAAGTCTAACCCCAAAAACTTGGTTTTTAACCCTATTTATAATAATAAAGTCCTAAATTAAAAGGATTTCTAAATAAGGAAAATCTATCCAAACCGCATCTTTAGTTGACAACCCAACTGACAGTCCGTCGATGGAACGACGGACCGTCGACTGCCTCGATCGGTCCACACTTACTTTTTCTTCAGCTTTCACTTTTGCATCCTCTCTGTTATAAATAACGGACCAACAACACGGTCCGTCATCTCACTTGCAGTCCGTCAATGCCTCTGTCCTTCCATACTTAGTTATTTCTTCAAGTCGGGTACTGGGACTACTATCTGTTAGAAACGACGGTTTGCTAGGATTGTCCGCCGATCAGTCGACAGAACGTCGATCCTTCCGTAGCCCCACACTTGGTCAAATTTTCCCGAGTTGCTTCTAAATGCTTTAACCTCCAATCAACGATCACTACCTATGGATCGTCGATAGATCAACAAACTATCGATGGCTTCGTAGGTCATCACTTCTGCAATGATTTCAGCACAGTCTTATGCATTTCCGTTTTGAACAGCTTTCCTGCAATCATTGATAAAAATACACTAAAATTATTACAAAAGGCTTTAGACACACACTAAAGTTAAGGAAAAAGCATTGAAAGTACTGTAAAACCACGGTACATCAACACCCTCAACTTAAATTTGTTGTTTGTCCTTAAGCGACGCACTATGACTCACCACAATCCTTTTGTACAAAAATACTCTCTTTTTAAGCTTTCACAATCATATGGCTATCAATCCCGAATTTTTTTTATTGCTTTTAGTGCATGCTTTTGCTCTTAGGCTCACTAGGCTCCTTCATGTGGATCAAACCATGACATAGTCTCACCACACACCCACACTTTTCCTCTTTTATTTCTCACCAAGGCACCAACTTTCCGATATTGCAACTCGTGTCCTTACTTCAAAAATATCCTCTTTTTTCATACAGTGATTTCAAATTTGAGTATAGGGATTATTATTCAATACTCACTCTCAGAACAACTTCACACCTAATTGATACTTGTCGCCATAGACTTGCCCTTATTTTCAATACTTTAAGTCCACCATATTAGACTCTTAGGATCACGATAGGACTTTCTTGGCTCGTAGAGTAGGCTCAGGGTCAGGTATGGTACATATATATATATATATATATATATATATATATATATATATATTTTAGTGACTTGTTGTCATCCTTGACATTACAGCTAAGCGTCCTACCTCTTTCATTGTCTATTATGCCCCATTCTTCCTTCTCTTGTGCAAATGACTATTCTTTTATTTTTAATTTTAATTTTATATTTTCCTTTCAAATTCTTCACTTGATTTCTGCTTTAATTGAGTCACTTATCTTCTTCATTCTTTTTTTTTAAAAATAATATTCTCAACCCCACTTTTCGGAACATAACTCATAATAGCCAACTCATGGATTTGCCATGAGTCAAGGTACACAATACCCAAGGTTGGGTCAGGGCCAAGACGAGATTGGTTTCTGCATTATCTACCCTCAACTTATGCTTTTGGCCTAAGTCGAGGTGCACATGTCCAAGGAGGGACCGGGGCCAACACATTATATACAGAAAAAATTTGTTAGGGTAGAAAAGAAAGGTTTATTGTAAGCTCAAGATATTTGGACCAAACAGGGATAAATTTCATTTGGTTTTCTTTCATTTAGGCTAAAAATTGGCTAACTTGAACACGGGCCTATGATCCTTTCCTAATTGACTAACACAGATTACTTTTGCAGGACTAACTGGGCAAATTCTGGCTAGGTACCAACCGTGGACTATGCAACTTTCCTCACACTCTCTTAACAACTCATTACCCTACCTAATTATCGCACACCTAGTTCATGTTTAGATTGAGGGTGATGCAATGGTGTATCTCTATGTCATGCTTAGAGCCAACACTTTCACATTCACTATGATTAATCATGCAAACATTCTTCTCAAAATGAGATATCATTGTATTGAGCCGTCATGCTTTAGATTTCATATTCAAAACTTTGTAAAAAATACTAAACAGGCCGGTTTAACAGTAAAATAACCAATCTCTTGGGGCAAAAGAACACAGGCAGGAAACCCCAAGAGAGGATCGTGAGTTGGTCTTCTCAGACTTCACCCTAACACTCACTTTACATTGAGCCCACCCAAAAAAAATCTTGCAATTGTCCCCAATGTATAACAAATATAATAAATAAGGCGCATAGCTCCAAAGATAAAAAAGCAGGCGGATCCGGTTGTACAGAACCCAATCCATCAGTAGTAAGGACACCCTCAGTAGTGTCTGCAACAACATTTGCACCCTCTGTGGTGCTTCTGTCAACATCCTCAAGCCTTGAGATAGACACCCCAGCAACCAACTCACGAGCTTTCATATACCGGGCCTCCTCATCTGCCAAAGAATCTCTCCTCGAGGCCTCAAACTTAGTGCACTCCTTATTCCTAGCCTGAGCCTCATCAGTCTCTCTGGATTGGTGCCTCTTGGCACGCTCACTAAGCATTGTATCCTGAGCAAGCTCTACATGTGTGACCTTGGGCTCAGGCACCCACACATCTAGAATGACATCCACATCAGCCCTCAGACTCGCCATAGTAGCCTGAAGATTAGTCAAATCAATAGTATGGGCTGGCCGGGCGAGAACTCTAAACTCGAATGCATCAAGGCGCTGGTGGAGCGCCAGAATCTTTCTCTCAGTCTGCTGGGCAATCTTTTTCTCGATCCGATCCTCCACCTCAGCAATGGACCTCTGCATCCAAGGCTGGATATGATGCAACAATATGGCCATCTAGGCCTCTAACTTTTTGACCCTAGCAATCGGGACCAGTGCTACTGATGGTGTAGATCGGGAGGAACTCGGAGCTCTACTAGTGCCTGGGATAGACTCAAATGGGGTGGTGTTGGTAGGATCTGATGTAGCCTTATCAACCCCTTGGTCTTGCTCAACCGTGTTTGCCAAGTTCTCACCTAGCGCCTGCACCTCTATTATGGGCCCTCTGTTGGGTGCCATCTCATTGGCCTCATCTCGGATGAGACCGATGTCCACTGTCCCAGAAGGGGTCTTGAGAACATAAATGTGCCAAATGGGCACTCCAGCAGACCTACACAACTCAAAAATCATATGGGGAAAGGGGTAAGTGGTCGCGGCCTTAAAGGCCCTCTCATGGATGCCTGCCAGCAACAACCTCGAAAAATCAACCTCGAACCCCGCAACCATAGCAACAACCAAGACTGCTCTATCCCATGTAATAATGTTGTCAGCGCCTATGGGTGATAGGTAGTGGTGGACCAATATCCAGATGGACTTGGCAGCAAATATGAGGTTGGCCTTCTTGATAAGGCCTCTGGGCTTCAGCACCCAATCTGCACCCTCACGATCCAATGAAATGTGCTAGGCTATCCAACTCTTGGTGGTCTCTCTCAAAATCTTATCTCACTGGAAATGGTCCTCGTTAATCAATTTCCAACGATAGTCAAACTAGGGGGTGAGAGGTCCCTGGTGAGATCTATATTAGCACCGTATAAGAAATGATGAATGGTGGGCAAAGATATATATACCCCGCGGCCATGGACTCAAACATTGGTAAGTGGTGAATGTTTGGCGGGATTAGACCACCTATCAAAAGAAGCCCGGAGAGTCGCTACGTAAGAAGCGTAGAACTCTCGCACCAACTCCTCACTGTAGTGTCCCACGCTCCTAGCCATCCACTCGAGCTGATGGGGGGTGAAGAGATCATTATAGCAGGGACCGTGTGGAGACTCCCTGTAAGAATCCGTCGCTTGACTGTTAGTTTCCGAGTTATGACCCCCCTTATCATTGAGCAGCTTAGCATCTATGTAAACCTGGTATTGGCTTTCTACGCACCACTTGTTGGGCTGATCAGCAACCGGTACAGGGACGTCAAACTGGGTTGTTAGAGAAGAATCCGCACTATCAGCCTCATCAGATGAGGTAGAATGGGCAGGTGCAGTGGAAACAGTGGCACCATCCAATCCTACTGAGTGGGCCGACTCAGACCCGATAGCCTATTCGGGACCAGACGCTCCCTCATAACCCGCAGCAGACCCAAACAGTGTGCCGGTCAGTGTGCACTAAAAATCAGACTGGGCCGTAGTGACTACACCGGATGCCACCTTCTTAGGCATGCCCGAGTGGAACTAGCAGCAGGTGTTGGTATCCGGGTGCCTGGTGGAATATATTCGGGATTAGTCTCATCGTTCGACGAATAAATCACCAACCGACATGAAGGGGCGACAGAATTGGATCGTCCTCGAGAGTAGATAATATCAGGCTTGAGGGCCATTTGTACCTGCAAAGGAAGGTTATTAGACCCTGTATAATCATTCAACACACTCGAAAGAAGCAAACACCAAAGTTGGAACACAAAACACAGTGAAGTGCAGAACTAAACGACGGGTGATGGTCCATCGATGGAACGAAAGTCCGTCGATAGGGTCCGTCAGTGGACACTTAGTCAGAAGTTATAAGTCCATACTAGCTGCAGTTAGAAACGATGGATGTGCAGAACGTCCTATCGATGAATCGATTGACCGTAGTCCGTCGTTGGATACTTAGACAAAATTTAGAAAGTTTCATTGACAAAGGTTCTGTTAGAAACGACGAACGTGCAGGATGGTCCGTCGATTGATCGACGGACCGTAGTCCACTTTCGTCGTTGCAAACTTAGACAAAATTTTAGAATTCTTTAGAGACAAAGGTTCTGTTAGAAATGACGACGTGCAGGACGGTCATTCGATCAATCGACGGACCATAGTCCACTTCCATCGTTGGGCACCTAGACAAAATATAGATAGCTTTAGCAAACTGGGTTTTGTTAGAAACGACTGACGTGTAAGACGACTCATTGATTAATCGATGGACCATAGTCTACTTCTGTCGTTCCAGAGTTAAACTAGGTCGAGGTGTGGCTATCGACGAACCCCATCAACGGTCTGTAGATTGACCGACGGTGCGTAGATGGGTATCGTACTGTCAGTCAGAGATGGATTTGTTTCTACACCCTTTGCACCCCACACATACACAAATTCAAGAACATCAATTAACAACATGTTTTATAGCAATCAACACACCATTTCTTCATTCCTAGGGCTTAGATTATTCCAATTGCAATCGTAGATTCTAAGAGACTAAAAAGCCCTATGTCAGAAACTACAAAACTAACCCATTCAGAATTCATTTCACCTCCACCGCATAAATTTTTCATCAGTCTTAGGGACAAGAAACTCTCAAATTACAGTTAAATCAGGCAAGATTTTCCCTAAGTTAAGACCCACATGCTAGCACATCGGTTTCCAAACAAATGACATGAAATTAAAGAGCATATGAGAAGGACATACCTATATTCTGTAGTGGAGTGAGTGAAAGGGTGAACTTTGCAATGATCAACACTAAGTCCCCTTCAAATAACGATCGGAAAGATGAAATAAAAGGATGTGAACTTGGGGAATGAGGGTTTTGGGAATGTGGCAATCATGAGAGAATATGAATCAGAGAGGATTAAGGGGTGAATTAGTGTGTGAGAGAGTGGGGGAGTGAGGGAATATGGGGAGGGAAACGGTTGGGGGGAGAATTTGAAAAGGTAAGGAAGTAAGTGAAGAGTGTAAATTCATTATATAGCCGATCGGGTCCTTAGATCTGGAAAACTTACGATTCCCCATTGATGGACCTTAAGTTAATCGATGCTCCTTCGACTGCTCCATAAATTATGCACTAACTTAAACAATATAGAAAAACAAAGTAGGATCCACGAACCTCATCGACGGTCCGTCAATGGGACGACAACCCGTCGATTGGTTCGTCAATCAGTGCACCAGACCAATTTCTGCAGATTTATGGTGATTTGGTCCCTGCACATTTAGCACCCAATAAGTCATTCTTTTTGTGTTTTTTAGACACTTTTTAGACACAGAACCTAAACTACTCTCTATTTAACAGACTTAAAAGAAACAAAAGAAAATTTAAACATGACAATAAGTCAAAATCAAGATAATGAGACTATTCCTACTAAGACAAGAAAAACCTAGTGTTGGCTTTAAGATACATATCGGGTTGCCTCCTAATCAGCGCTTGATTCAACGTCGCGGCATGACGTAAGATTCTTGATTACTTAGGCTTCATCAAGATGGTATGCCTCAACCACTTCATTCGCATTCAGCGCATGCCCAAGGTAGATTTTGATTCTTTGCCCATTTACCTTGAACCGTGCACCCTCATTGTTCTCCAACTCAACCACACCATGAGGGAACACTTGAGTGATCAAGAATAGACCAGTCCATTTGGACTTGAGTTTTCCTGGAAACAAGTGCAACCTAGAGTTGAACAAAAGCACCAAATCTCCAACCGCAACTTTGCGCTTTTCAATCTTTTGGTTATGGTACTTCTTCATCTTTTATTCGTAGAGGGCTGAACTTTCATACACCTTCAAGAGAAACTTATCAAGATCATTCAACCCATTTAATCTCTGTTCCGCAACTTCATTCCAATCCATCTTCTGTTCCTTCATCGTCTACATGACCTTGTGCTCTAACTCAAGTGGTAAGTGACAAATCTTTTCATATACAAGTTGGTAACGAGACATACCTATGGGAGTCTTGTATGCTGTCTTGTATGCCCAAAGAGCATCATCAAAACTCCTTGACCAATCCGTTCGACTAGCATTCACCGTTTCCACCAGAATTTGCTTGATTTCTCTGTTTGACACCTCGACTTGGCCACTAGTCTGTGGATGATAGGGAGTGGCTACATTGTGGCGACCCCATATTTCTTTAATAAACCTTTGAACAACTTGTTGCAATAGTGGGATCCCCAATCACTAATAATGGCCCTAGGGGTTCCAAATCTGGAAAATATATTATTTTTCAAGAACGTGGTGACACTCTTCCCTTCATTGTTTGCGAGTGCTATGGCTTCCACCCATTTTGACACATAATCAACCACCACAAGAATGTACTTCATCCCATGAGAACTCACAAAAGGGCCATAAAGTCAATGCCCCACACATCAAACAACTCAATTACAAGAATGGGATTTAAAGATAGATCTTGCCTTCTAGAAACACCTCCATCTCTTTGGCACTTATCACATGCCTTGGCGAATTCATGAGCATCTTGGTGGATGGTTGGCCAATAATAGCCACATTGCAAGATCTTATGGGCAGTCCGGATACCACTATGATGCCCACCTAAAGGCGAGGAATGATATGTCTCTAAAACACAAAGCATCTCAACTTCCAGTACACAATGGAAAATAAGCCCATGGGCAAAACTCCTATATAAATATGGTTCATCCCGAAAGAAATTTTCACATCTTGCATGAACTTTGTCCTTTGATGAAAGGACATGTCCGATGGGACGATATCAGTAGCCAAGTAATTCGCGAAAGTGGCGAACCATGGAATCAAGTCATGAGAAGCAGCCAATACATGCTCATCAAGGAAAGTATCATCAATTTTAGTCTTTTCACCCAACTCTAGCATAAGTTCATCCTCTAATCTGGACAAGTGATCAGCAACTTGATTTTCGGTCTCTTTTCTATATTTCACTTCAAAATTAAACTCTTGCAACAGTAATACTCATCTAATCAACCTCGGTTTTGCATCCTTCTTTGTCATCAAATATATCAAGGCATAATGATCAGTATGCAATATAACTCTCGTTCCAAGAAAATAGGAGCAAAATTTTTTGAAAGAAAATACCATCGCAAGAAGCTCTTGTTCAGTCACAGTATAATTCTTTTGAGCTTCATTAAGGGCCTTACTGGCATAATAAATGGGGTGAAGGATTTTATCCTTTCTTTGTCCCAGTACTACACCAAGAGCAACCCCAGTAGCATCACATATAACCTCAAACAGTTTGCTTCAATCAGGGGAAATTATAATGGGCGCAGACACCAACTTCTCCTTCAACTCTCCAAATGCCTTCAGACAGGATTCAACAAAATAAAATTTACACTCTTTCTCAAATAACTTGCACAGAGGATGTGAATTTTTTGAAAAATACTTGATAAACCTCCGGTAGAAGTTCGCATGCCCAAGAAAACTCCTCACACCTTACAGAGATGGGAGGAGGAAGTCTCTCTATCACCTCAACTTTGGCTCGATCAACCTCTACACCCTTCTCTGAGATGTGATGTCCTAATACAATACCCTCTTTCACCATGAATTGACGTTTTTACCAATTTAGCACAAGGTTTGAATCTTCACATCTTTTGAGAACCTCGGCCATGTGACTCAAACAATGATCAATCGAGTCACCAATAACAAAAAAATCATCCATAAACACCTCAATAGTATCCTCCTCCATATCGGAAAATATGGACATCATACATATCTGAAAAGTATCCGGTTCATTACACAAATCGAAGGGCATCCTCTTGAATGCGAAAGTTCCATAAGGAAAAGTAAAGGTGGTTTTCTCTTGATCTTTCGGTGCAATAGAATTTGGTTGTAACCCGAATAACCATCAAGAAAATAATACCACCCCTTTCTAGCAAGCCTATCTAACATCTGATCCATGAAGGACATATGAAAATGATCCTTCTCAGTCCATGCATTCAATTTCTGGTAATTCATACACATTCTCCATCCGGTCACCGGCCTCATTGGAAAAAACTCATTTATCTCATTAGGGACCACCGTCATTCCCCCTTTCTTAGGCACACACTGAATAGGGTATACCCAACTAATATCAGCGATCAGATATATGACTCCGGCATCCAACCACTTAATAATCTGCTTCTTCACTACCTCTTGCATATATGGATTTAAATGTCTCTGGTGCTCAATACTTGGCATATGATCAGGCATGAGTTGGATTTTGTGTGAACAAAAACCGGGAGGGATACCAATAATATCCACAATAGTATACTCAATAACTCTCTTAAATCTCTCAACACTTCCACCAAACACTCTACTTGATGTACATTCAAATCAGACGCAATAATTATCGGCAAAGTGTACCCAAGAAAATATACCTCGGATGAGGTGGTAGAGCCTTAAGCTCTAATTTTGGGGCCTTCTCAATAGATGATTTCACATGTGGAGACTCGCGATGCTTCATATCTAACTCCAACTTCTTTGGTTTGAACCGAATATCACCTTGATCAAGTTCCGCAACCAATGACCCATACTCTTTAATACCATCACTCTCAAAATTCATTATCACAACCGCTAGTGCCTCAACACCAAGACACTCTTCTATTTGTACCTTTGACGAACTCTTAACTCTGTGTATCATAGATACCAATTGAAGCTCACTACTATGCCTCATGGACCTACAAATGTTAAAAGTCGCTTCTTCATTGTTCAACTGAAACTTCATCTACCATTTCTCCATGTCAATAAACGTGCGACTGGTATAATAGAATGGTCTCCCAAGAATAATGGCACCCAAAATCCACCTCACAGTCAAAAATCACAAAATCGACAAAAAATATGAATGAATCCACCTTTACTAACACATCGTGGAGTATCTCAATAGGCCTCTTCACTGTTTGATCGGCCATCAGTGACCGCATTGCAGTGGGCTTTGGGTCACCCAAACCAACTTCTTGTAAATGGAGAGAGGCATGAGATTTATGTTTGCCCCAAGATCACATAATGCTTTAGCAAATTGTAATAACCTAATTATACATAGAATAGTGAAAGCACTCGAATCTTCTTTCTTTTGCACTAAAGACCTTGTAACAATAGCACTACACTATTGCATCCGATCATCATCCTCAAAACTAACCGATCTCTTCTTAGTGACCATATCTTTCATGAACTTGGCATTATCGAGAATTTGTTCAAGAGTTTTTATCAATGAAACATTGATGGAAAGCTGTTTCAACATATTAATAAAACACCGATATTTACCATCTTCATTTTTTTTCACCAACCCTTGCGGAAATGGTGGTGGTGGTCTTTGAGTGGGAGTCACCTTTTGGAGCATCTCTACTTCTTTCATTGCTTTATTTACCAACTCACCACTAGTTTCTACTACCTCATCTTATCTTCTACGCCAGACGGCATAGGTGGATCAATGGTTTGCTTACCACCTCGAGTAGTGACTTTTATACAGTGTCCATCATGTTTTGGATTTTGAACAGTTGTGCTAAGAAGAGTACCCTGTTTGCGTGGGTTCACAGTAGAAGACAATTGAGCCATTTGAGATTGCATGTGCATCCATCTTTTCCCCAATGTTAGATAAATCACCTCTTAACTTTTTGGCATGCTCATCACTAGCATCAAACCTCCTCATCATCTTATGCAACATATCCTCAAATCGCAGAATACTACCTCCACCATTCCTAGGAGCAACTTCCCAATTTAAGGTGGAACATAGGGCCCACTTCGATAATTTCTATTACCATAGTTACCCCGGTTCAAGTTGTTGTCGCGGTTGTAGTTTCCATCTCGAACATAGTGACCCTCTCAATTGTAATTACCATAGTTCCAACCATGATTTCCTTGACCTTGGCGCCAATTCTCTTGATTGGAGCCTTGAGCGTTCGGCCAGAAACCCCCCGTTTGCTCATTCACCGCATAAGAATCTTCCTCATAGTAGTACTCATCAATCGGCAGTGGTGGTTTAGCCAAATAGTTCAACGCATTTAATTTTTTCGTACCCTCGGTGACATGTTTCAATACTAATCGAAGCTCAATTCTAATTTGAGTCATCTCTTCACGAATCTCATCTGCCGCTGGGTTATGTGTAGCTTGCATGGCAAAAGTGTTTCTCCCACTATTAGACTTCCTATTGCTCCAAACTTTATTATTTTAGGAGATTTTCTCTAACTTCTCAGTGATCTCTGCCTAAGTACACTCCCCATAAGAACCACCCACAATCGTATCAAGCACTACTTTATTATTATCATCTTTCCCCCTATAGAAGTACTCTTTTAATGACTCATCATCAATGCGGTGGTTTGGGACACTTCTCAAGAATGAGGTGAACCCATCCCAAAAACTGATTACTGACTCTCCTGGTAATGCCACAAAGTTGTTCACCCTATCTTTGTGGTTGATCTTCTTAGACACCGGATAGTAAAGTGCTAGGAACACATCCCTCAATTGGTTCCAAGTATAAATCGAGTTATAGGAAAGCTCAATAAACCATATAGTAGCCTCTTCCGTCAGTGAAAGAGGGAACACTCTTAACCCAATGACATCCATGTCCAAGTAAGGCCTCCCTACACAACTCTTACACACCGACCATAGTTTGGCGATGTGAGCATGTGGATCCTCAGATGGTAGCCCCGAAAACAAACCTCTAGCGGTGAGCATCTACATCAAGCTACTGGTTACTACGAAAGTATGACCATGTGGTAGAGGCAGTAGGACAAGTGGCCCGTCAGAGTCAGTGATGTTAACATTTCCCCTATAGTACTCTTGAGGGCATGGGGCGGGAGGTTGCCACCTCAATTCACCTTCACAAGGGTTCTCAACCATCACTTGATTATGGGCATCAACCTGCAGTGTAAGTTGACGGTTGATCTTATCACCGAGATTAGCAGGATTGTGTGGATTGTTCATTCTGCGAAGTGGACGGTTTAGTTTTGGATCAAGTGAAAGTATTGGTTCTCCTCGACTCCGTGTACTTGGTATACGCTAGAGCTAGACCTTCAAGAGACAAAAACAAAAAGAAAAAGTAATATTAGGAAATTTTTGACTAAAATTCGGTAATGTGCTTAAAGTTAATCTAAAATACACTTTCCCCCGCAAGCGGCGCCAAAATTTAATATGCTCAAATTATACTTCCCTAAAGAAGTATAAGCGGTTGTATCAAGTAAAGAAATCAATTGTTAGTTTGGGGTCAATCCCACGAGGAAAATGGTCTAGACTAAACTTTAATCTACAATTTCGTCTATTTAGTCAAGTCCTTTTCAAAAACATTT